AGGGGGGAGATCGGGCCACTCTAATAGCCTTGGAATTTGTCTCTTATTTTCCATCAATTGAATTTTCATAAACTGTTCCATTCTTCCGGGTTCTTAGTTGATTTATTGCAGAATTCCCAGTGGAGGAGCTACACCAGGAGTCAGAGGATCAAGGGACTTACCAGTGCCACCAATGACCAACCTTCTTGTTTTTCATCCATCATTATAACATAATCTATCCGTGCATTTATGAATGCTCCTATTTTCATTTTGGGATGTCCACAGGTAATGCTCTCTCCAGGTCAAAGAAGACGCAAGTCATGGGTAATCTTTTTTCTTTCATGGCCCTCCTCAAACCTCATGTTATAATTACAACCTGTTTTTTCTAATTACATTTTGGTGCACAAGCTAGCTGGCGACATTCTATTGGAGTTACAAAGAGGTTAACATATCACATATTATGGAAGCATGTGTCATACTGGTGCATAATAAGGACTATATCTCCTCATTATTTCGCAAAACGATCCTTCAACACTAAATAACATAAAGATACCTTATGGCTTAACTTGAACATAAACTTAGGTTTCTTACATAATCCACTCAGCTTGCCTCATTTATGTCCTTCTCTTGCTCATCAATTGAGTCAAATAAGCAAAAGCTGAAGCATGGATGTTGAAGTTCCACCATTACACCACTACATTTTTTAGACCTTCACCACAGTAATGCCTTATGAAATTTTTTTTGATATCTAGCATTGACCAATATAAAATAATATTATGAGCTCAAATGAAAATATATTTAACTTTATCGGTACTAGCTTATGTACGATTTGACAAATGTTTATTAAATCAGAAAAATTAACATCCTTCATATTATGGTCTCACAAAACTATTTGAAATGCTGAGGTACGAGGAACTCATTTACCAAGTATGCAATACAATAGTTTTATTTAACATTTATATGAGTGCAGCAACTTACTTGTCCATAGCTGCCGAATAAGCCAGCCAGTTGTTCTTCAGTTATCTTAAATAAAGAGGTGAGTTAACTGTATCAATATGGATCATAAAATATTGATAGAGTCACATAAAGTCCAGTGATCTTTACTTACATTGTGATCAATGTCGGAAACATAGACTGTTCGTCTAATATTATCTTCTCTTTGAGCTCTAAAAGTTCTACCGCCCATTCTCCTCCTGCCTTGGTTGTTGTTATTTCTTCTCTGAGAAAACACAAACTCAAATCTTATGGGAGCAAAAAGAAAATGCAAATGTAAGAGAATGTCCACCCAATGGATCTAGATTATATTTTGTTTTAAAGGAATAAAATTAGGTAGTTCCAAATCGCAATAAATATATAATTCAATTTGCATCAATTCAGATCTGATCCAACCCTTAAAAGTCAAAAAAAGGTGGAAAATGAAGGTAAATGGTAATAAATAAGAAAGCGTCCCTCTAAAATTGATAATAGCAATGCATACAGAATATGAAATCAAATCATCAGGTAATTAAAATGTGCAGAACTTCTATAATTTACTAATCAGATTGATGTGCACGTTGATATATGCATATACAGTGTGCATCCACATGGACTTAACCTGGAAATAGATTATCATCAATCAAGGTGACAAACTGGATTTGAATTATTCCAGTCAAACAAACTATCACCAGTTAACTGATAAACTGAAGTCGATCAATTTTATGAACGATAAACTGCAGTAAGATCAAGCCAATGAATTGATATGGAAAGATCCATCACTAACAAATGAAGCATCGGCAATCCATTTTAACAAAATGGAAGTCAAAAAATCCATTTTTGGATTGAAATGTTAATTTCCAGTTTCAGTCAAATCGATCTTAAATGATACTAACAACGAAACAATTTACAAATTATATCATAAACTTCATGTAAAAAAAAATGGAAACTGATTAGTGAAAAGCTTTTAGCATTCATACCCTCGAGATTGTATTAACTCCAGCAATTATGGCCAAGAAACTGAAACTTTCAAATGATAAAAGCACAACTTAGTTTCCAGATTCAATCTTACCCATCTCACTTAGAGAAACGAAAATTTTAGATATTTCATGTCCAAAATCCTCTCCAATATTTAGATTAAAAAAAAAAATTTCCTACAAAGCGAATTCAGAAATAACATTTCAAGGTTAGATGAAACAGCTATGCTTTGTTCTGTGTCTGATGTGATCAAATTTCATTTATGTTGACCAAATATTGCAATCCTTCGGAACAACAACCTATGTAACTACTGTAAACGCAAGTGAATTGTCCAGACTCCAAATGTTTGAAGAAATAAGTTACTACATCAAATCTTGGACTAAATCACGTCAAATGAACAGAATCCCAAAAATTGTATCAAGCCAATTTTCATAATTCCAAAATCAATAAATTATTTTCTTATATGGTAAGCATCAAATATGTAAATAGATGTAATGTGAACAAACTTAAAGAATAAACTTCTAATTGAATAAGCCAGACGAGATAGAACATAAAGTCAATAAATAATGAAGCACCATTATGAATCAATATAACAATGAACATAACAAAATCAATCAAAGGGAGAACTAAATTTATACCCTTCGGTTATTCGCAAAACCATCATTGCCCGAAAGCTTCTTAGCCGACACAAAATTGTTGTCCCCCATTTGGCTCCGATTATAGGAGGAAGGGAAAAACTCCTTGGCCAGAGGATTCAATTTGAGTTTCTTCAACATATCAACAATTTCCTTCATTTGCATTTCCGATTTCGAATCAGAGTCCTTAACAATAAAATCTACATCCTTCTCCCCTGAATCCTTAACGTTAAAATTATCATTCTTTTCATTTATTTTTTCACTTGCAGTTTCAGTGTTTTTTGGTGATGAAGGCACCATGTCCACTGCTACTACTACTGTCTCACCAGACACCTCTGCACCAGCCGCCATGGAAAATTACAAAAACCCACAAACAAAAATTTACAAATTTTACTCAAAAAAGAAAAGAAAAAATGACTCAAAGCTTGATCAATAAAAAGACTCAAGAATTCTGCCTCATATAGTAAAGTTATGTGCCTCTTCTTTAAAAACACAGTCTTTACACCTCTATATAAACATATAGATCAATCAGTGATGGGTTTTCTTTTCTATCAAATTCCAGATTTTGGCTATCTCTGAAGATAATCTAAACAGATTCTCAAAATATGTGCGTGTATTAAAGTTGCAACCATAATCTCATTTGGTGAATAAGGGCAGAAATGGAAGCAACACTGATAATGATGATGATTATAGAGAGAGAAAGAGATGAAAAAAATTAATAAAATAAATCGGGTTTTCGTAACAATTCTTGGTTAGTTAGAAGTGGAAATGGTGAGAGAAAGAGATGAAAAGTATGGAGGAAAAAAAAAAAAGAAAAAAGAAAAAAAAAAGAAAAAAAGGGGTCCTCGTAACGATTCTTGATTAAGGAAGAGGCCTAGCATTTGGCACTTTCCTCTTTCTTTTCTTTTCATTTTTTTCTTATTTTTTTAGTGGCAGAATATATTCACTTGTTACGTATAATAAATATGTGTAAATATATACAAACACTCCAATGTGTATGAATATGTAGAGAGTAAGACGCCCTCCGGGGCATAGTTCGGTGGTGTAAAGGATAGGAGTGAAATCATCTTACGCCTTATTGACAGTCGCAGTGTGGGGATTCGATTCCTGAGACATGGAATTGGATTTCTTGTAGGCGCAGTGTACAGGCAACTCTTATTTCCTGGCCTGTTGGGGCATATCCAGCGATTTACCTATCTCACAAAACTCTAGGGACGAGACGGTGAGAGCCCTTAAGATTGGGGTTCAACCATTATGTAAAGAGTAAGACGATTTTAAGAGTGCGTATTGAAGCAAGGGACAAGTTTTTTCGTACTTGATTTGTTAGTATAATGAATGTATATGGTACACTGTAGTGTGCATGTACATGAAAAGAGTAAGACAGTTTTGAGAGTGTATATCGAAGTGAGGGACACGATCCGATTAACATGTTTGATGAGGTAAATGAATTGTCATCATCTGCATTTAATAAGCAGTTGGGCAGTATTGATTTTTTCAAGTGAAACTGAGGTTTATGGGAAAAAGCAAAATTTATGAAATAATTCTAAAAAAGTAGTGCTATTTAATTTTACTTTTGCTACAATATCAATATCAATTTAGGTTGCGACACTTTATTGGCGTAATGAAATGAGTTATATCATGTAATTGTTACTTAAATTATATTTTATTTTTTTCTCTTATATTTTTAATTATAAAATCTTTCATAAAATAATACTATATATAAAACAAAATTTTTTCCTTCTTTTTCAATCACTTATTTTTTTTACAATAAAACTTCTTGTACACCATAGTATATAGCCCTCTCACAACGTGACGGGACCCACACGAATATTGTATTTGTGGACCCCCACATTGTGAGAGGGGGTGTATGGGTGTACAGCAATAAGTGCTGCACACCCAACACAATTGCTTTTTATTTTTTTAAACATTATTTCACTAATTTTCTTTTTAAAAAAATGGGGGCCAAATGGGGGCTTAGATATGTGCTTAGCATCGATGGTGATGAATAGCATTCCTCCTTCTAAAATTTTTTCGACTAAAGAAAATGTATTTTCTAGAAAAAAAAAATTATTTGTAATATAATGCTGAACATTATTTAGTATATAATTTTTGTGTTAGTACTTAGAGAAAAAAATTAAAATTATAGTTTATATTTTATAGTAAGTATAAGTTGGGAATATACTTTGTTTGTTATTAACCCCGTGTTTGATCCCTATTTTTAAAGTTATTTTTTTTTTTCAAATTTTTTCAATGACACATTTCACGAGATCCATAACTTTAATTAATCTTTTAATCACATTTCATCAAATTTCTATCAAAAAATATTGTAATCTCATTTTTAACTAAACCAAACAAGGATTTTTTTTTATTTTTTTTATTTTTTGGTGGGTGGGGGAGTGGGAGGGGAATTTGCATTAAATATATTTGAGCGTGTATATAAATTTGGAAAAAGGGTAGAATTTCGAAATAAATTGTTTGAAGACTATTTTAGGTCAATTTCTTAGCTTATTAAATAAAGTGTTTATAATATAGAGAATATAATGCAAAGTCAAATTAGAAAGTGAAGTAAGAAAAAATCAAATGGAAAAGTTGGTGGAAAGTGGGGAAGTATCATTTTATTTTATCAATAAAACAATATTTAAGAATATTGTTTCTTTTCACAGTTCCAAAAATAATTTTCTATTATCAAATAATGAAAAGTTTATAATTATATATATTTTCATGCCCTCCTACTTTTTGTCCCTTTTGCATACACACCTTCAACAAAATTTTGTTAAATGGTGTTTTTTGTTTGCTTCATTTCAGTTTTTTATGTTTGCTATATCTAGTGGGCACGTCTTATCTGTTCATCGATATTATTTAACAATGTTCAATTCAACTTATCAAACAAAACCTCCTACGTATCTTTGAAGTTTGCTCTTCTCATAATTACAAGTTCATCACGAATTTCGAGATCTTAAACCCAAAAAATTAGAAAATAATGGATTCAAACAAATTTCCTTGTCATTATATAAACTTTTGTTGAGAAAAATGATTAGGAAACACTACTCCATTACGATTCATACACAAAAATCTAGGATTGACCCAAACTTCAACGCAACATAGAACATCCGTTGAGAACATCTTTATAACTTAGTCTAAGGACCTGTTATTTGATGGGCAACATTTCCCATGAAATTGGTTTTTCATCCAGGTTTTTGTGCATGAATTGTTTATTTTTTTTTATTTTAAATTGATTAAAAACCAATTTCATGGAAACACCTTTAAGGAATTGTTTTTTTTTGGCAATTGGAACAAATTATATTCCCGATTGTAACAAATTTTATCACTTTAATTGACAATTTCCATGAAAAATAAAGCCAAATGAACACCAAAAGATAAAAAATTTCAACATTTTCCTGGTAAAAAATTATCTAATCAAACACATTTAATTGATAATTTAAAAGAAAACAAGTTCTAGGCAATTTAATTCCTTGAAATTCGTTATCTTTCCATTTAAATTCTATTCTTGCAATTAAATGGACTCTAAGAGTACAAGTCATCTCTATAAGTTTTACAGAGTTTCTAGTGCTATTTGAAATCACAGATACACCATGTTCAATAATTCGAACCACTCCATCTACACTGCAATGCCATCACGTCGTATATACCGTGAAGCTTTCACCTTGTTGCCACATCTCTTTCAAATATAGGTACTTAATACTCTCCGTTTTGCTTATTATGATTCGAATAGAAATCCATGCTCTAAAAGCCCAGATAAAACACTTTACATTTTATTAACCAATATAGGTTTCATAACGACTCCATCCAATCCAATTCTCGAGCAATTCCCTTTAATCATCCTATCGTGTTCCCAATAAGTGCAACAATAAAAAGTTTATCAACTTGTTCTGAAAATTTTTCATGTAAGCGTACTGCGTACAACAACTTAACAGGTGTCCGCACCTGGCACGGTTGACTCAAGAATAATTGTTGGTCATTTTGGTAAGTGATGCCCAAATTCCCTAGACAATGATGAAAAATCGAGGCCTATTTAACTTCATAGGCTATAAGCCTAAGATTGAAAAATATTAAATCCTTACTACAATTGATAGTAGCCCAATTATATTGAATATTTAGAGGTAATCAGACCATTGAGTTATGTGCTCAATACCCAACTTGGAGGTAATTTGAAAATCACGTGAAAAATAGATAAGCATAATATTTATCTTTACCAACCATTTTATCTCGTTTCGGTTGAGCTCTATCTTTCAGTTTTGATTTAGCTTAATCTTGCAGTTTTGATTGAATCCAATCCTGCAAGATTTTGGGAAAACCGTTTCTTTGTGAAGCCTATAAATTGGAGTCTTTCTTCTTCATTTAAACACACCAAAAAGACAAAGAAAAAAGTCTCTTGCTTTGTGCGAAAACAGAATCCTCATTTGCCTTCTTTGTGAATATGTCTTTGTGACTTAAAATGACTTTCAAAATGAAGATACCTTTGTAGTGTGGATCGAGTTTCTAAGCCTAATCTAGAAGGGGAAAACATTGTTCTTAAAATTTGTGATTTTGGTTCTTGATTTTGTTTTCTTTAATCTTTGCAAATTCTAAACTAATTGATTGTTTTGTTCGATTTGTAGGTGGATTTGCTCAACAATTGGTACCAGAGCAAGGTGGTGGAGAAAATCCTACCAGAAACCGACAGAAATTGGCAGAAACGAACTATCCAGTTTTTTTGCACAAAAATGGGACCTGCAAAAGCAATTTTTCGGTGATCTAGAAGTCCACTGGTGAAACAGAGACCAGGATTAAGACGTGCAGGTAAAGGCGGTTCTGGGTGTGTGGCGCGTGACTCCGACAGCAACACGTGGCGCGTGACGACGCGTGGCGATTATTTCTGGCAAACTTCCTTCTGACGGTTTGCTTATTTTATCTCCTGAATGCACTGATATAGTTTATTTTCTGTTTTAAGTTACACAGAAAAAGTTGGACGATTTGAAATTGCCATATATTTACAGAATTAGTTTAGTCCAAAATCAATAAATTCACATCTCTCGAGTTTACGGACTCAGACAAGTTCGTTTTGGTAAATTGGCTAAAACTTTACATTATCGGACTAGCAAATCATCATGTGGGGTGATCATTAGGATTGGAAGTTGTCATTGCTTGGCAACCATTGCTTGTTGGTGGAACTTAGGATTACTTGCTAATTTTTTGTTCATCTTTAATTTGTTGAAAGTCATTGCATTACTTAATCTCGTATTATTTTAGACTTGTACCTAGACTCTAATTCTATTTCTTCTCTTGATCTGAGAACTCGATTCTCACAAAACCCTGGGGTTCTAAAATAGTGTATTATTTGTGAAACCATAGGAATTTTTTTTACTCTATGTCATCTATGTGAATTGTGAGTTTTACATATCTGAATTTGTGTTTTGTGCATTTTTTGGTAAAATGTCGACATGTTACTTTGAGTTGGGTGTCTTTATTGGTAAAGGAGATTTGTCAATTTAGCAATAAAAAATGAAAGGGATTCTTGTTCAACAAAAAGTTTCCAAAGCTATTGACTCTTTTCCTACAAACTTGACTACTGAAGAAAAAGAGAATATGAATGAATTGGCATGCACTTATATAATTTTACATTTGTCTGATGTGGTATTAGGAAAAGTTGGCAAATTAAAATCAGCTCAAAAACTTTGGGAAAAATTGGAGGAACTTTATGTGTCTAAGTCAACTTCAAACAAACTTTTTCTACTTGAAAGTTTTTTTAGCTTCAAAATCGACTCTTCAAAAGATTTGGATGACAACTTGGAAGTCTTTAATAA